AGCGGCAGCGGGAGGTGCCATTAGCTAAAGTGGTACCTCAGGTTAAGAACAGTTTCAGGTTAAGAACGGACCTCTAGAATGAATTAAGTTCTTAACCGGAGGTACCACTGTATAATGGACTGGATGAAAGCCAACAAACTGAAGCTCAACCCAGATAGGATTGAGGGCGAGGCACTGTTAGTGGATGGTTCCATAGACCAGATGGGTGGGAAATCATATGCTTTTGATGGGATTACACTTCCACTGGAGGAGCAGGTTTGTAGCTTGGGGGTACTCCTGAATCCTTTGCTGTTGGGCGAGGCTCAGGTAGCCTCAGTGGCACAGAGTGCCTTCTGTCAGCTTCAGCTGGTGGCCCAGCTACACTCCTATCTGGACAACTACTGTTGTCTATGGTCTTGTAACCTCAAGGTTAGATTACTGCAATGTGTTATACGTAGGGCTGCCTCTGAAGATGGTTCACCAGAGCAACATATTACACCGATCCTGGTCCAACTGCACTGGCTACCATTTAGTTTCCAGGCCCAATTCAAAGTGCTGGTTTTGACCTATAAAGTCCTAAACGGCTCAGGACTGCAATACCTCAAGGACTGCCTCTTTCCATATGAACCTACTTAGCTCCTGAGATCATCTTCTGAGGCCCTCCTTCATGTGCCTCCTCCTCAAGAGGTCCGAAGGGTGGCAACACAAGAACGGGCCTTCTCTGCAGTGGCTCCCCATCTGTGGAATGATCTCCCCAGGGAGGTTCGCCTGGCACCTTCATTTATACACCTTTAGGTGCCAGGTAAAAACGTCCCTTTTTAACCAGGCCTTGGATTTGATTGACATCCTATGACCTTTTAAAATGTGGTTCTTTTTTGGGGGGGGGAGTTATTGGGTTGTTGATTTTATTTTGATTATATATATTGTGGTTTTAGATGTTGATCTTGTTTTGTGAACCACCCTGAGACCTCCGGGTATAGGGTGGTATACAAAACAAACAAACAAACAAACAAAGGTGTCACTGAAGTCCATTATTACTTGGTTCAAAATGAATCTCTGCAGCTGTGTATTCTGCAGGTGTATTCCAAACTGAGTACCATTTACCCAATAAATCATTTTCCAAATTTGAATATAAAATAGAATCCCAGTCATGCTCTGTTAGTATCCATTAGGCTGGGCACCGAATGAAAGAAGTGTGAATAGTTCTCTAATGGTAAACCCCTTATTTTCACTTAAATTCCCATGGATTGCTGTTAGTTAAATAAATAGACTGCTCAACCATGCAATCTTTCATTTGGCGAGTATCTCTTATATTTGAGCCAGTGCTCATGTTCTTGGCAAATACCTCGTGTGATTGTTTGGTCTCATTCCCTTCTAAAATTCTCTCTTTTTGCTGGTTGTATAGTGGCTCCATGCCAGAGCTAATGCTGGGAACTGTAGGGGCAATACAATATGGGGGGGGCACTATCTGCATCCATGTGCCAATATTAAGAATCAGCAGAAAACTTGTGTGAAATGATTGAGGGGTTTTTTCCTGAACTCTCACCAAGAAAGCTTGTAATTACCAAGCCAATTCTAAATCAAGCCAAGGTAAATTCACCTATCACTGGTTCAGCATTCCTAAGCAGCCAACAGAGATGTTGCTAGGTCCTTAAAAACAACTCAGGGCACTGAACCATGACACAAGATTGCAGGTACTATTTATATGTACTCAAATCTATGCTGATTTTCAGAAGGAAAGCCATCATCTTGTAAGCGAAGTAAAAACATTTTTAAAGGGTTTTTAAGGGGGGGAGCAGAAGATCCAGGACCCAGAGTAAAAGAGAGCATTCTATAAGAGCAGGAAGGAAAAGGAGGGTTAACAGATGAGTTCAAAATAAGCACTATTGCAAATACATTATCTGGTAGTAAATACAGAAGTAATGTCTTCCCTGTGTTAATAATTATGTAAACGTAGCCCTCAGGTCTGTGAACTTCTGAACTGAGAATTGTGAACTATTGCACTGAGGCTTCCATCCAACATTAGGCCTGTGTCCCGTGTCCTGTGCTTCAGGAAGTTGTAGCTAGACAATATCACTGTCAGCTACTGTACAGTGGTGCCTCGGGTTACATATGCTTCAGGTTACATACGCTTCAGGTTACAGACTCTACTAACCCAGAAATAGTACCTCGGGTTAAGAACTTTGCTTCAGGATGACAACAAAAATTGTGCTCTGGCGGCATGGCAGCAACGGGAGGCCCCATTAGCTAAAGTGGTGCTTCAGGTTAGGAACCGTTTCAGGTTAAGAACGGACCTCTGGAACGAATTAAGTACTTAACCCGAGGTACCACTGTACTGGTATAGCATTTCTCTGGAATGTGAAACACAGAGCAGTCAAATACAACATTCCTAGAGTGGACATGTTTGGACCAGCCAGTCGGAACTTCCTGTTTCCTCCTAGGCTAGGACAAACTTTCTCTTCCCACAATTTACAATCTTAGCATGCTGTTAGGCACTTCATAATCTTGGGGTGGTTTTGAAATCAACTCCAGGAGGTACCATAGAAGATGAATGCAGGACCATGGATGCAAGCATTCTCCCATCCTCACTTCTGCTGGAGTTGAGAGGCCCTCTATTGAAGTAATCACAAGACAAGTTGGAAAATAGTTCAAATGGTGGATACCTGGAACTTCTTCAGAGGGCTGCAACCAGTCTACCCTACAAGCCTTATGTTGTGCAGACCCGACCTTGCATGTGCTAATTGCTGGTATTCTTGTAAGCAATGCTGACATGCATGGGCCTTCTGATATATCAAGATAATTAAGCAGGAGTGCATCCCAGTGTAATGAAAAGCCAGTGCTCCACTCTCCTGAACTACTCATTTCTGCCAAGGACTATAATCTCCTAAGAGGAACACAAATAGCTACTGCATTTGTGTATGTTTCCCTGTGCCAGACATACAAAGGTTTTTTTATCCTGTCTGGAGGGGAAACCCTAGAGGGTACTTTGGTTCAAACCTTTTGCCTCACCTTGATGGCTCAGTTGACAGAGGCTGATAGGTGCATGAGATGGGTTGCAGGTATTACCTCAAGCAGGGTTTACTCCCTCAGGTGGTTGGATCCTGACACTCTCTCCCCAACTCACCCCTCTTGGAAGATAAGAATTAAAAAATAGCATTGATTTGGGGAATGAAGACATCTCCACTGACCCAGAGCACACCCACAGAGCCAAAATACTACCGCAATACTACAAATTATCTAAACTCCCAAATGCCGGAGATGTTAATACTACTGATTTCGACGGGATCTTTATAAGTTTAGAATCCGTTCGTGTACATCCCTCTTGTTCGATGTCCCCTTGAGGGAGCACCCTGGGTTATGCTGATGCTTAGCAGACCTATAAAGTACAAGCATTCAGAGCTGTAGACACTCGGCAGTGTTCCGTGTGGGCCAACAGTGCACCATAAACCTCTGCGTGTTTACTGAGAAGTAAGCCCCACTGTAACCAATTGCGCTTTCTAAGCGCGCGCAAAATGCCTTGGTGACCCCGCGCAGAGGCGAGCCAGGAGCGACCTTCTTCTATCTATGTGTGGGCTGAGCTTCAGGGCCATCTCGACCTCGGTTTCCTCTCTCGATTTGCGCGTCTAGCGAGCTCCGCCGCTTGCCCAAGCCAGCTGGCCGCCGAGATGCCCAGAGAGCTCGATTTAGTCCCCGGGGGGCGCTCAGTTTCCCGCACGCGCCTCGGCTCCGTCCTGCAAAGCGCAGCCTTTCCCGAGGGCGCACCAATCGCGCGCTGCCCGGCGAAGAAGCCGCCACCAGCTGCCTCCGAGCCGCAGGCTTCTTTCTGGCAAAGCCGACTCTGCGCTTGCGAGGAAGTTTTTCCTCACACCTTCAGAGGCTGAACCAATCCGGCGCCAAAAGAAAAAACCCAACAGGATCTACCCATGACTTTGGGGTGTAAATCCTCTCAAAGAAAGGGCGTCTCGAGTTGAACGTGACTCGCCCACCTTTCTTGACTGCAATTCCAATGCCTTTGAAGGGGGTTTCGAGGGGTATTCCCCCCTTCTTCCCTTGAAGGCAATGGGAGAAGCGCCGCTTCAATGGCGTTGCAAAACCAAACGCAGCTCGTAGTTTCAGAGAGCTCTGAGGTCCAGGGTCCCCAGCAGGCGTCCAAAAACCACGTCCCAGCCAGTTTAGGCGACCCAAGAAATCTGCGCTCGCACGGACCCCTTTCTAGGCACGCGCCCTCCCGCTTGCCTTCCCTTCCTCACAAGTTGGCACACTTTTACCTCACACACACTCCCGGGGTGCCGCGTGACTGCAGGTATATGTAACTCCTGCTCAGCCATTCCCTCAGTTTCTCCCTCACACGCACGCACCAGCGATACCCTGCCTGCTATAAAAACGCGCGCCTTATTGTTGGCGGGACAGCAACTGTTACTTAGAGACACTCAGGTATTCCATCCTTTGTATATCAACTTTTTGTTTCCTTCTGTCTCTCCGTCCTCCTCCTCCTGCTCCCTTGCCCGCGCCTTCTATCCCGGCGCTGGCCAAAAGAAAGAAAGACAGAAAGACAGAAAGAAAGCCCAAACAAACACCCAACCTTCAAGCTTTAGCCCATTGGCTGCCCGCACGCGACAAGGCCCCGCGCGCTCCAATGGCTGAGCCGACACGCGACTGGCGCGAGGAGGGCGGGAGGTGGAGGGTGGGGCGCCGAGGAGGGGTGTGTGCGGGGAAGGAGGAGGTGGAGAGGGTGGGGGACCCCGGCGCGTGCCGCTTTTTAAAGGGGGCGCAGCGCCCTCCGCAACCGGAGAAGCCTAGTTGTTGGCGGGCCGTGTGTCTGTATATGTGTGCTTTATTATTACTATTATTATTATTTTCCTCCCTCCTCCCTTATGTATGAGCGCGCGTCGCAGGGTTAGACAGGGCTCCTGAAGTACTTGCTGCTCGTCCCGGGCTGAGGGGGAGAGTGAAAAGGTCAGACGGCGGCGACTTCTCGCGCTGAGGTAACCATCGCAGACGCTATGAGCCACCTGCGCGCCATGGCTGCGCCCAGCGAGTGGGGCGAAGGCGGCAGGGATTTGGGCTCCCAGCAGCAGCCGTTGGAAGACAGCCTTCTGCTGGGACAGGAGGCGACGGCGGCAAGTCGCGGCTTCTCCTCAGCCTGGCTGGGCATCTGCTGCCCAGGCCGGGTCACCTCGTCGCCCAGGTACCTGCTCTCAGGAGCAGCTGAGGGGGACGATGAGGAAGAAGACGAGGAGGACGACGACGAGGACGACGAGGAGCTCTTGGAGGCAGGCGCGACCGAGCACTTGGGCGGCGGCAGCCGGAGCCGGAGCGGCCGGTCGGGGAAGCTGTGCGCGCTGCAGGAGCACCATCGCCGCCACCATCACCACCACCAGGCAGGCGGCACCCCTAGCGACGCGCAGGCGACGCGGCCCCGCGCGCCCTGCCCCGTCGGCAGCGGGGGTCTGCTCCGCCAAGGCCCTCAGGTGAGCGGCGTGCAGAAGCAGAGGCGCCTGGCGGCCAACGCCCGCGAGCGGCGGCGGATGCACGGGCTGAACCACGCCTTCGACCAGCTGCGCAATGTCATCCCCTCCTTCAACAACGACAAGAAGCTCTCCAAGTACGAGACGCTGCAGATGGCGCAGATCTACATCAGCGCGCTGGCCGAGCTGCTACACAGCCCACCTCCAGCCGACGGCGCCCCCGCCAGCCAGACTTACGAGCGCGCGCCCTGCACCCCGCCTGTAGGGGGCGCTCTGCAGCAACAGCCGAGGTCCCAGGCCTCGGGACACTGCCGGACGCGTTTTCCCCAAGAGCAGCCGGCTGGGGGCGGGGCAGGAGGAGGAGGCTTCTCGGTGCAACTGGACCCGCTGCATTTCCCCTCGTTCACGGAGTTGGGGCAGAAAGCCCCCTCGCCGGCGCAGCTCCTGCCGCCGTCGGGCCAGTCCCAGCAGGAGCGGAGGAAACCCTCGCCGCCGGCCCATCGCAGCGATGGGGAGTTCTCGCCCCGATCCCATTACAGTGACTCTGACGAGGCCAGCTAGGCGCGCGTCAGTCGGGCAGGGAGGGATAGGTGAGATCGGCGGCTGCCAGTCAAGCCGACCCTGAGGCTGACCGGGGATGCGGGGGGAGGACTGCTTGTCAGACTGCTTGTGAAAGACGTTGCTGGCGTGAACAGGGCAGGATCCTGGGCATGTGGGGGCAAACAGACGCGTGTCGCAGGCTCTGATGGACTCACCTCGCCAGCCTTAGAAAGCTTTGGAAACCTGCGGGGGGAGCTCTCCTTAACTTCTCTTTCTAGAAGTAGCCATTTACCCTGCGCAGGTCTAGATCGGTAGGGAAAGCTTTTGAACCATGATTTCTCTTGAACTCTATTCGTAAAGCACTGTGGTTGCTGTTCTCGCAAGCAAGCAAAGGGGGCTTTCTTCCAAGCAACTGTGCTTCGAATCTTAGCTTTTAAGCAATTTTCTAGAAGCCGACTGAATGTAACCTGGTTTGTTTTTCTAGTTTTAAAATTTGGCTTCCCCTTCCCTGCTGGAATCAGTTGCATATACTTCACCAGAGAGAGTAAAACAGATTCCGGATTACAGATTCTGGGACAATGGACTGTACCCTTCCTAAATTAAGCACTGCTTTTTGGGACAGCTCCTCAGGGTTCCTCGGATGTAAACTCCAAAGCGTTCACTTGTGATCGCTCCCTATTAAGTTTCGGTCTCCAGATGATATTCACGTCACCCAGAAATAGTACCTCGGGTTAAGAACTTTGCTTCAGGAGGAGAACAGAAATCGCGCGGTGGCAGCGGGAGGCCCCATTAGCTAAAGTGGTACCTCATGTTAAGAACAGTTTCAGGTTAAGAACGGACCTCAAGAACGAATTAAGTTCTTAACCCGAGGTACCACTGTACCTGGAAGTAAAGCCCGTTGACCTCAACGACGTTTACTTCCAAGTAGACATAGTCTGTAACGTTACAGCAACTTGCCTGAGAGTAACCCAAAATGAACTCAGCGAGGCTTATTTCTCAGTAGTAATGCAGAGGAATGAGCTGTCCCATTTGAAAGCCTAACCATCGTTTCTGAACAATCCCAGGTAAATGCATTTAGGGTCGGAGCTGCGAGAACTCTGTCCTTTGACGTTTGGATATAGATCTCATTCAGCTTCATTCTAAGCACAATTGCTCGGAAGTACATGTTAATTGTTCTTTTTAATACTGCTACGAAGTGTGCTTGTGACTCAACAACAATCAACAAGGCTCCATTCAGCTTCATTGCAACCCTTCATCTGAACTAGACGGCAAATTAGCCTTTCGCTTTGAAGTGACTTCAGCTGATAGAATTGGGCAGAGTTTCGAGGTTGTAGTCCTCGCTGCATCCGTCCCACAAGCTTCCCTGGGGAGCCTGAAGATTGTGGTTATACTAGTGGTCTGAGTTTGGTTGTCGGTTCTTTTGGGTCCGCCGACTTGGTGTGCGCCCCTCCGCCTTCCCAAACGCAGGGCTGTTTTGTCCTCGCTACATGTACTTGCAAGGAATCCCCCTTGATGTAAATCAATCTACTTCCGCGCTTAGTTACATAAGCAGTCCCCCAGCGTGTTCAGTGGGGCTCTTGTGCGCTCATGACTGCAGCCTTCCTTCCAATAGAGTTCGCTTAGGATCAATTCCTCCGGAGCGAGGGGTCCCTAGGCGGACCTGCCTTCTAGCCATCCGCCCCGGTGTCCCCGTCAGCCCAAGGGGTGTTTGGCTTTTGCTAGCGAAAAGGCAAGTGCCTTTCCTTGCAACCTGGCCGCTTGCAAAGCATCCCGAATACAGAGTCGCTGTACAAATTCTAAGCGCAAACGAGGAGGACCGGTGGAGAGGGCAGCGTTCGTGGGTATCCCTTTCTTCCCGGGCTGTAAATAGGGGGAGCGGTTTTTTGTTTGTATCCTGCTTAGCTTTTCCTCAACGTTCATCCAAACCGAATGTTGGCGTCTTCTGTAGGTGGGATTTGGCGCAAGCACTTTATAAGCCGCCGGGAGTGGAGACTGAGAGACGCGGCTCCAAAAGAAAAGCGACTCACTGCCAATTGGATTAATATACCAATGTCGAACTCAGCCATGTCTCTAATCGTCATTATTAAACTCATTTGCAAACAGCATGGGGTGGGGGGAAGGGAACGCGGGAAACTACCATTTTTGTTTGTCGTGTCAAACATTTATGTCCATTTCATTTGCTTTTGTGATGTTTTAGCGACAGGTTGTTTATTTATTACTGGATGTTTGCTACTGGTTCTGTTTTATCTTTTTTTAAACCAAACGACTTTTTACACGATCCGTTTATTTTTTAACAAATTCCGCTGCCATTGTTTATGTAACTTTTTTTGAGAGAGAAAGAACAAATAAAAAAAGTTTTAAAGGCAACAACTTTTGTTGAGGTGCGTCTTTACAGGAATCATGACTGGAACGGTATAACGTGGGGGTAAGTCTCTTGCTTCAGGGAATGATTTGCCCCTCCGCAGGATCCCTCCGTTTGTCAAATGATAAAGCGCGCCTGCACCGATGGTTCGCTATTAATAATAAGTAATGATAATACGAGGTCAGCGCAATTCCTCGCAAATGCCTCCGTCTGAAATACAGACATTCCAGGAACACGTTTATTAAGGGGTTTCTCACACCCTCTACTCCAGAAATGCCATTACATTGTACATTACAGAGTAATCGAGAAAGGGTAATATATTAGTTTCAGATCACATACTTTGTCCTAGGTTCAGCTCTTGGCATCTTCCGGTAAGGTGGGAATGCCCCCTGTTTGAGAGCCGCTGCCGGTTAGTGCAGACAATATTGAACTACAATATCGAGCTAGACAGACCAATGGCCTGCTTGCTAGGTGAAAGTTCATTAAATTGAGAAGCTCCGTTTTGCAACCCTATTGTTCTATGACATCACAACAGGACTACTTCACAATTCACGCACCTGCTGAACGGGAGCAGTCGCGTTCAAACCGGTGATGACCTTAGTCCCAGTCATATTAATCCTCTATATCCCACTGGTTTCGCCCTCGCTGACTCTCACGATGCTCTTTTACTTTAACCTAGTAGAGTTATGTATATGCAGTGTAAGCAATTTATGCACAGCTGAGTCCTATGCACATATACTCATAAGTTCCCCCTGAGTTCCCAAGTAGGTAGATGTAGAATTGAAGCCTTACTTGCTTGGAAACAAATTCCACTGGGCTGATTCATTGGCCTGTTCAACACTTGGTTTCATCAGTCACTGAGCCTCAGCAGAACGCGTGAACCTTTTCCAATAGACGACTTACCAGCTGATGACTGTGCAGACGGGAGCTCGCTCCTTTACTTCCAAGAAAAAAGTTTTTCGGACAACTGGGGCTATGTTTGGAGACGGGAATGCATTTGCTCGGGAAGGGGAGGGAAATGCGTGGATTCGAACTGCGCTTATTATGGCAGATGACTGGTTCTTGTTACATTCATAGCTAGCCTTTCCTCCGCTCCAGTAAGATCAAAGCAACTATACCTGGCTGGTTCTCTCTGCCCTGCTTCCCACATTTATCGAAATATGAATCGCAAAATAAATTGAACGCCCCGAACTATAAACACGCTGAGCGTCTTATGTCCCGATAGGAAGGTATGCTGAACTCCGGAATCCGGAGCAAAGTAATTTAAACTTTAGATATAGCCCGGGCTATACCCTTCGAGCGAACATTTTTCCAAGACCTGATTGGACTTAACTCTTCCGGCTACGCTATGGAAGAGGACTTGACAATGCAGCTCCCTGTCTAGCTAGCCTCAACCTAAACTTCCGAATTTGTTACTGAAAAGAGATTCTTTGGGAAGCCTTAAGCCAACAGAGGTGCAGCGTGGTCACCCCAGAACTTTACTAGTTGCCCGATCCCGCTTAGTCGAGACTGCTGTGGGAAGGCTTAACGTGAGCCTCACAAAGCAAGGCTAAGCCTCTTAACCAGATTCCAGCGCCAGAACTTCAGTTCTGAATCATTCGAAATAATTATTAAGGCAGGAGCGCCTCTGAGGGTGTGCAAAGTACAGCCTCCTGCACTCTGCGTAACTGCAAACAGGGAAGTAATTCCAGGACAGAGAAGGACGTAAGCGCTTAAGAACACGTTATATAACACGTCGTTTTATAGCCTCTCACACACGAAGCGATGTCCCTTTGCCCTTATGTCACTGGGTGACTAGAGGCAAACCACTTTCAGCTGCAATGGGAAATGGTGGTGGTGATAATACTTGCGGGGTTGTGGTAATAATTGCAACTCGATCATGCTCGCGAAGCGCTTGGAACGCTTAAAAGCGCTACACAAACGTTAAATATTATTAGGAGCATAATACATTTCGTACCCTGGTACTAGACACTTCATACTTTCCTTACCGACATGAATCTAGCAATAATCTCAAGGAAGTGTTTCAGGGGCCGCCAGTAGCGATGGAGCATTTATCTTAAACCAATTCAGCATCTAGGTACCCTAAAATACTTCCCCTTCAGTAGTTTGTGGGATCCCATTCTCCACCGATACCCATTACAATCCCACGAGGGGCAAATGTTGTTGTTGTTTTAAGCCAGGGGTATATTTATATTGTTTCCATGAATGTTTTTATTCTGAAACTGGACTTTATTCTTGAGTAAGGTGGTGTATAATTTCTCAACAGGAGAGACTTGCTGGATGACACCTGCGGGCGGGGGGGCGGCGGGGGCATTTATCCAACCCTCTTCTTCCAACAGCGATCAAATAAAAGCTTCCAAGGAGCGCACAAGCAGGCTATGAAGGCAAGAGCCCTTTTTCTCTCCCAACTTGCCCCTTGTAACTTGGAATACTCTTATAGAGTTCTGGTCGCCTCAACTCAAAAAGGCTATTGTTGCAAAAGGTTCAGAAAAGGGCAACCCGAGCGATAAAGGGGGTGGAGAGGCTCTCCTTTAAGAAGAGGAGTAAGAGGCGACATGATAGAGGCGCACAAAATTACGCATGGCATAGAAAGTGGGTAGAGAAAATGTATATTCTATCTCCACTGTCTGAGGCAGTATATCTCTGAACGCCAGTTGCTAGGAATCACATGCGTGGTGAATATTGTTCTGCTCAGATTCGGTTTGGAGAGATTCGGGTCTCTCCAATCTCACGTGAGTTTTCCGCAGGAGATTCAGCGCAAATCCCTAGCGCAGGTGTACTCGGAAGGAAGTCCCGCTGGAGAGGACAGCAGCTTTTGCGCAGTACCTCTCGTCCACTTCCCTCGCCTGCCTCCCTGCCTGCCTGCCAGTCTCTCCTTTCTCGGGCTGCTCGTTTCTCCTGCCTCCCCCCCCCGGGAGCCGGCAGCTCTGGACAAGGAACGGAGCAGCTCCTGGGGGGCTCGCCTCGTGGCTCCTGGTCCTGATAGGCGGCCGCGGCAGCCCGCGCAGGAAGCGAGCAGGTGAGAGTGTCACTTTCCCGCCGCGTAACAAAGCACCTGCCCCCTTGATAACCTTTCGCGCGGCCGCCTTCGCCGGGGCCGAGATAAACATCGGCCATCTTCGGGTTACTTGGAACCCCGGAGCTGCTGCCGGTGAGCGGCAAGCCACTATCGCCCGGCAGCTCCCGGGGGTTGTTGACGGAGCGGGTGACACAGTCCCTGGGCAAGGTGAAAAGTTCAGCGAGGATCGCCAGGTCGCCCGGCTGGGCTTGCCTCCCGGACAAAACACCTGCTGCACCGAGTCTAAACACAGGCTGAGATCCTAGGCACGCTTGGCAGCGGGTGTGCATGTCACGGAACCCGGGGGACGGGACTTACTTCTGAGTAAGCCTTGTATAGGTACGGTCGGGCTGCAGATCCCTTTGAACTTACTTTTGAGTAAGCATGCCTGGGATCGGACTGTCAATTCCTTAGAATTTACTTCTGAGTGAACATGCCTAGGATCGGGCTGCAAATATCTTTGAACTCAGTTACTCTCAATAGGATTTGCTTCTGAGTAGACAGGCATAGGCTCAGGATGCAAATCCCTTTGAACTCAGTAGGACTTGTTTCTGAGTAGACGTCCATAGGATCGGGCTTTGTAAGCCCATTGAAATCTATAGCGGTGCTTTTAAAAGCAACAAAATCCAAAAGTGGATCTCACTTGGAACTTTCCCAAGCATCCTCTAGCGTTGGGAATGAGGGAGACAGATGACCCTAATATCAATTAAATCATTCTAACTCACGTTTATTTCAATGAGAGCCTTAAGCACACAAATCCTTCACTAGAAAGTTCATATTGACTCAGTGGAAATCTCCGTTTTATCTCGTTGGTTTTACTGACACGTCAAGTGTGTCTAGGATCGCAGCCTTAGCTGTACTGAAATGGCCCCTGCTTTAAGTCTGGCAGTCGGGTAAACCCAGTCATGTAGCTTGGATAGATCTGCATTTTTTAAATATTGTGATTCCCAGTGATTTTTGTCTCAGGAGGAAGGTTAGGTTTAAAACAAGCAAACAAACAAATACCCCACCCCACCCCAAACAAGCCCAATGCATACTTTTCCCGAAGTAAGCTCTACTGAACATAACGGGGGTTTTAAATTTTTTAAAATAAGGGTAGAAGCCCTCAGGATTGCAAGGATAAAGGCGCAAGCTCCTTAAAAGGGGCTTTGCTTCCATTGGAGCAAGAGCATTTTAAGCTTGGACTCGGAAAGGTCTTTGTCCTGGTTCCCAACCCGCTACTCAGTTTGCGCTCGACAGCACTGAACAAATACATGCGAACGGAGTGTGGTGCAGTGGTTAGAGCATTGGACTAGCATCTGGGAGACGTGGGTGCAAATTCCCACTCAGCCATGAAGGTGACCCCGGCCAGTGAGTGACTGCCTCTCGTGGGGTGTAAATAAGGAAGGGGAGAACCATATAGGTTATCTTGACCTCCATGGAGGGCGGGGTGGGGGAGTGGGATATAAGTGGAATAAATAAAAAAATAACAAAATAAAGTTATGAGGCTAGGATCATAATTTAGGATCGCAGGATCTAGGATCATATCGGCTGGTCGTCAACGAGGTCCTTCTCATAGCAAACCCTGCCCATATAAAATAATGACCCTAGCTTAGTCATGTCTGTTACTTTCAATGGGTCTACTCTGAGTAAAGGCTTAGCTGAAGAGCACGCACGTCAGGCTCGCTGAGTTACTTGGAACCTGTCAGCCTTACGGACCTCACGGAATTGTTGCAAAGATGCATCGCTCCCTGGTTGCGGGAGCGGGGGAGTTCATTACATTTAATTCTCTTAATTATATCTTTAAACGGGCACTGGGTGTAAGGGAAAACCAACACACATTTTCCACTCTGAGGTTCTGTTCCGGCCTTTGCATAACAACCCTTTGTCACCCCCCTCTCCTCCCCCTGCCCCCCGCTTGTTCCCCCATTTACAAGCTGTAGCGCGTAGCTGCAGGTTGCTCTAATCTCATTAATATTTTGGAAACGTGAATATTGAGCGTTGGAGGCCGTTCATTCGCCATATGCCGGGCCACTCCCGCGATGCTGGCTGGTTCCTTTCTCTCCATTATTAGCAATTAGCTTCTACCTTCCCAAGTCAGCCCCCAAGTATCCAAGAGACTGGGCGCAAAGGAATCAGTTATGCGCCCGCGCCAAGCATGCTTAATAGCGCCTCGGAGCGAAACAAAGGCGAGGGCACGGTGTGGCTTTAATAAGTCATTGGCACCTCCTCCCAAATACATCAGCTGGGAAGCAGCTCCTTGGAAATCAATGGGGTTTGGGGTTGGGAAGCGCCTCCAAGGACCCCGCCGGGGCGGGGGCGGAGAGCTTTAGAAAGAAAGTTACCGCGCCGCGATGCGGGCGAAGTTCTCCTCCGGAGGTGGGGAGACAGAGCGCACGTTTCGCTCTCCTCTCCGGAGTCGTCAGTGGGATTTACAGTCCTGGTCGTGTTTTCTCAAAGGAAGTCC